GGACAAATTGGACAATAAAATAATCATACAAATCTGATTTTGTTTGTCTTCATGATAAATTAATCAATATTATATGTGAAATGACATGTTTATAATCTTGTGAGGTATATTGATCATTGATTATATAAAGACACCAGGGGCGGATGTAATCCTCCTATGTGCAACTAGAAATGTAATGAACTAGAAAGGGGAGAATCATAAACATTTAGCTCATTTAAGTTATTTTTTAAACCATTATTTGATTGAAAATGACGTGCAACATTTAAAAATATCCTCAATTATAAAAATTGGTTTCAGTGACTCTCACTGAAGATCAATTTTCAACAGGAGCTATAGATCATGTGGGAGAATCAGATAAACGAGGCCTTATATCAACCTCTGTGATATAACTGTAAATTCATGTGACATGTGTGTATTTCTGTGTCAATATGGAAAAGTAAATATTGCTGCAGCTTTGACATTTCTATTAACAACGTGCCATAATTCACCCTAACCTCTTAAAAACCATGGAACCGCTCTGATATCTGGGGTCAGGGGAAAATCAGTTTGTGACCTCTGACCCCGTTTCACTCAGAGAACACCTCCAGTCAAAAATAAAATAGAGCTGGAATAAAATCTAAATTGCAGCAAAGACAAAGCTGTTCATTTGATTCTTTTCAGCACCACCGTATGTTTTTGGGCCTTGTTATCACCATCGTGTTTTCTTTAAACCCTCAGCGATGTCCATAAAACAACAGACAGGCCCTCATGGTGTTTCCTGTGGAATGCGTCGGCTTGTTTGCCTGGAACAGAGCTGACAACAGAGCGTCTCTGTCTGCGACGGCTGTGTGAGGCTGAGAGTCAACACGCCAACGTTTACCTCGAGTCTGGTTTGGATCCTCTCCCTCCTTCCTTTCAGCAAACAGCTGTTTTATGTTTGTTTGCTATCTGCTGTGGCTTTCATGGTTACCACACACACACACAGAGAGAGGTGAGCCCACCAGTGTTTCAGTGGAAGAAGATGAATGGGACTCGCACACCTTTGAGAAGTGGGAAAGACATGAAGGCTGGTGTGCATCGCTGCTGAAGTTAAAGAAGATGTGGATGAACTTTAATCCTCAATAATCTCTCAAAAAATGTTTGAGGTGCTTTTTATTAATTGTTTTATTATTATTTTTTGTAGGGACAAATGTTTTAATATGTAGCCTTAGAATGAATCAGCTTTACTTCATGTGCACACGTTGTCTTTTAGTTTGAAGGTGTTTTGCGTTTATCCTGATTTAAAACTGGTGCAGGGCCAGTTCTAAACCTTCCTTCCTGTTTCCTTGGCCTGTGATAATTATTCCTCATCATCAGTGGGTCCTCCTCAAACAATTCTATAATATAATGTCACTTTTTAATTGATTGCCTGCAGGACGTTCAGTGCAGAGCTTGCTGTTAACAGTGAAGCGTGGAGTTAGAAGTCTTTGCATCATCCTACCTGGTTTATCTGGAATGAAGATTTGATCATCAATCTATTTCATAAAATGAGTTTGTTAATATTGAATCTATCACGTCTCCAGATTGCATCACATTTGACTCATTCCCTCTCAGTGTGTGTTATTGTGATGTGATGCTCAGTGGTCAACCCACATTTCCACAGTTTGTATGTTATTGCCATTTTCTCACTAGTGTCAACAGTCGTCCTTCCTCTGGGTCAAACTGGTCTCTGTGTGATCCTTTTCAGCTCGTCCACACAGTCTGGAGATAAATGGGGCGCGGAGAGGGGAAGTGCACGGCTCCTGAGTGACCTTCGCTTACTTAAGGCGTCATTTTTCACCGCAACGTTAGACATCTGGGTCTGAGAATCTCTTACAAGTTTGCTTATGGCCTCATTGATGAGTATTTACTTCAGCAAGTATCCACACTGTCCACTGCACTGTGGTGGAACAGATGTTTGAGTCTGTGATGGTTCCAGCTGTTTCTGTGAACTGTACTTTATCAAGATATCACTCATATGTAAAGTTGTATGTTTCTGTTATGAGTTCATATTCATTGCTCTTCTACTATTTCAATTATTAACTTCATTGTATATTCACATGAAGTCACTGCCTTGTTTTAATGAGATCTAAATCTAGTCTGCCACCTGCTGTTGAGAGATTATACTAAACTTCAGTAAATAGATGAATGTGTAGGATGATAATTAACAGGAAATTCTGTAACAGACATTTATCATTTCAAATAATATTAACAATATATTTATACAGTTTAGATAATACTGTCAAACTAAAGGTACAAGCATTAAAGAGATTAAGAAGTCATTAAAAATGGAGTAATAATTAGAGAAAGGCAGTTTTTATTCATAAAGCACCTTTCTATACAAAGAGAGGCATTAAGTCCATTAAAAACAACACAGAGAGAAATTTAAAATCAGAAAAGCACAGTTTAAAGGTAATAAAATTAAAAGAAGTCAAAGAAATAAAAATCTGTGTGACAGTTTAAAAATAAGTTGAAAACACAAATAATGTAAATAAAATAGATAGAACAGTTTAAAGTAATAAAATAAAAATAGAATGGTGTAAACTGTTGTGGGAAATTATAAATCAATTTTAAACTTTTATTTTAGTTTATATCAGTGCACATATACAAATAACAAATAAGTCCCGCCTACTCTTGACGCACTGAGCTGCGACGTCATGTCCGTGTTTGCGGAAACCCGACATAACAAACGCAGGAACCTTCAGATGGATGAAAACATGTCAGAGATCCTGAAACATGGAAACTCTGAGTTCAACCAGAAGAACTTCACTCAGGCCGAGGAGCTGTACTCACACTTCATCACTTCCTGTTCACACTCCAGGTACCTTCCTCTGTGGGGCGGTGGAGTGAGCTAACGGCTAACGACTGGTTAGCTAGAGTCGATCCAGTTTCTCTTCTTCTCTGTTATTATTGAACTTCTGCTTCTTCTTCTTCTTCTTCTCTTGGTTTACTGGTAACAACTCAAGGTTTATACCGCCACCTACTGTACAACAGTGTGTAACGTCACGTCATTTAACACGTGACATAGACGGATTTGAAATGCAGTGTCTCTCTGAAGCTCAGTGTAAACATAGAAGTAGACAGTACATATAATTACGCATAATAAGTACTCAGAAGCCAGCGCAGTACTACATAGTATGCAGTCCTCCTCCTCCCACCTGTTCTGCCCATAGACTGTATATAAAGAGGTTCTGCCGTGTCTCCATTCCTTTCTTCTCGATCATTTCCTTCTCCTCTGTGGAACCGATGCTGGTACATGCACCTTCAGCATACTCGTCCCCCCCTCATTAACGCCGGCCCTGTGAAGTCTTACGAAACTATGCTACAGCTCTATTAGTAAATCCTTCCTGATGGATATTGTGGATTGTAAAGTTTTTAAAACAACTTCTGAGTCAGTGCATAATACCACCGTGTCCAGTCTGACCTAATAATAATAATAATGGCTGCTGTTATCTCTGCTGTGAACACACAGAAATGTTTGGATTGAATTAAACTCATCGTATCGCGTCGTGTTTTCACAGGAAATGTGATGCTGCTAGTTTGGCCACAGCTTACAACAACCGCGGACAGATAAAGTACCTCCGGGTGGATTTTCATGAAGCGGTGGAGGATTACACTTCTGCTATTCAGACTGACTGTCACTTTGAAATACCTTTCTACAACAGAGGACTTATTCGATACAGACTGGGTAAGAACACACACGAGGAAAATAATGTAAATCTATTATCATCAGCAGGTCTGACAGAAAAGGGCTTAAAATCAAATACGGCTTTTCCTATATTTGAGGGTTGAGGACAGAGGGTGTCTCAGCTTTTACAGATTGTTAAGCCCTTTGTGGCAATTTACATTTTTTAAATATGATGTTGGACATTCTCGTTTCCCATCACCGTCATTAAAACAGCATGAGGGGATATGTTTCAGGAGAGCAGTGTTCAGAGTTACAGACACATGGTGAACCATACACTTTAAAACTATTTTAACTTGTTAGCCATCACACTATGATCACACTGTTATCTAGGATGGTGCTGAATGGTGTGTTCTTCCCGAGGACACTAGATGGAGTCGTGTCGTCACGAACCCAGATGCTTTCCAGCCCTGGAGCAGATTCTACTGCGATAAAGAAGAAGCTGCTGAATCTTATCCAACCAGTTTGCCAGTGTTTTACACATCATAAACTTATCCCCAATCTGTATTTATTTATTTCATTGTGTCACAGGTTTTTTTGACGATGCCGTGAGTGACTTCCAGCAGGCGTTGAAGCTCAATCCAGAGTTTGAAGATGCCAAAGTGAGTCTGCGACAGACGCTTCTGGACCAGCAGGAGAAGACAAACAGAGGATACTGACAATCTCATAAACTACAGAGAGCGAGTTTTATTAACCTGAAGTCTGGTGCAAGTTTTCATTCTTGTATCTGAAAGTGTTTTATAATGTGGCACACAAACATTGTAGCTGAAGATCACATGACGGCTACAAAGCATTAAATCCTCTGCTGTTTGAACACATGACGGAGGAGGCAGACATCCCACCGGATCAGGCGCGACGCTAATATGGATTTTTATGAAGCAGAGCATTTTTGATTCCTTTCCTGCACAATCTCCAGCCTCGTTCAGTTGGCCAAACAATATAATGGCCTCATAAATGAAAGTATATCATCGTGTAAGTCTGTGAATGGAGAGTGCAGACGAATCGACCGAGGTGCAGCGGACAAAACAACAGACTGTCAGTAATAAACGATTGTTCCCCACCTTGAAGTCACTGGAAGGATGGTTGTGACCATAACCAAACAATAATCAAATGTTAGCATGAAGTAAAAATGAGGCGTCTCACTGGTGCAATGGAAAACATGTCAGTAATGGATCGATTATTTAGGTCGTGCTTTTCAAGCTGACAAACAAAAAATTTGCTCATTTGTGATTCTGATTTTTTAGAAATTTGTGACGAGCCCTTTGGACTTTCTACAGACAAAATTCATCAATTAATTGAGAAATTAAATTGCAGTTTAATTGATAATGAATGTAATTGTTAATTGTTAATGCAGATATATATGATGTCAAACACATGTAGGTTTGTATATAATGAGTACACAATAAATTATTTTTTCCTGCACACAGCTGATGAACAATGATTTTGTTGTGTTTTCAAAGATTCATATATCAAACCAACCCTCTGAGTGTGTGTGTGTGTGTGTGTGTGTGTGTGTNGTGTGTGTGTGTGTGTGTGTGTGGGGATCGATGACTGATGCGTCTCACCTGTGCGTCCTGATCAAGTGAAGTATAAAGCACCTGGTGGCTTCTGGGTAAAGCAATCAGCCACTTCAGAGCTGGTTTGTAGTTGAAGGGTTTGCTGGGCTCTCAGTGCCAAGCTCTGAAAGTGGTTTGATTCCTGTGATTTTTGTCTTTGCTCGTGAACAACATGAGGAGGCCTGAGCACATGTAAGTTCATTGTTTTGTCTGTTGGTAACGACTTTCTGCCTTTTTTCACTTGTTTCTAACTAATGTTCTCTCTGTTAAAGTTTGTTATGGAACTTCTTGATGGCTGCAGTTGTCACCATGAGTCAAGCGAGGCCTAACCTGAAGCTCAATTCGCAGTCAGGTAAGAACTCACATGAACTGTCTTTATTTCACCTGACATCAGTTCACCTGCTCTGCTGACCTGACTTCTCATCACCTCTCCACACAGGCAGCGGTTTAAGGTCAGACTGTGCAGGGAATCTGATGAGACTCTCCTTAGACAAGGCTCTGGCTGAGGGGAACCAGCTTGAGGTGGAAGCCATCAGTGAGTATGAACTCCTGCTGAGTATGAGCAGATTGCTTCGTCACTCAGGCCTGATCCTGTTTTCCTCTGCTCTCCAGATGGCACCCAGCACGTTGCGTTGACGCCCAGCCTGGCCGCTCAGTGTGGCTACAGCATGGAGTCTGACCCTTGGGGCAACACCAGAATCTACACGTCTCTGATGGGCTGCTATGTGGACAACAAAGTGTGTTGAGCTGTAGATATTTTCATGTTGTCTTTGTCCAGGAGTTTTCCGATGGGATGATTAAGAAAATGTCCAACTCATGTAACCTCTTATAGGATACAAGGTCAATTTCCCTTTTATTGTGAAAGGGACAAACTCTAAACTGTGCTGTTTCTGAAATCAGCCTAATGTGAGTTTTCTTGTCTTTATTGAATTTCCTTGGATGACAAAACTGGCAAATTTATAAATGAGCTGAATTTAAATATTGTGAAATGCTTGCCCTTTGATTTTAAACTTTAAATAATTATTCTGCTGCTGCCGCCAAACATTTTACAAATGTTGATTCATGGCATGCTTCCTGTCTTGTTTGTGCCTTTTTCTAATTTATAGAATGATGCAACCTTTAATGTTGCCTTGAGACTCCAAATGTACAACCATCAGAATCCTTCCAATGTGGCCACTCATGATGTGACCAAGACGTGCAGCTACACTCGCTGGGCCTCCAGAGAGATTCTCTGCGACAGGAACTATATGGAAGTATGTCTCCTAATATTGTAAATGATTGTAATGTCTCCAACAGTGAAGTGTACGAATGTTACTGTGAGTTTAAATCTGGCTTTCTCTTCAGGTATCACACCACATGGCTACACCTGCTGCTGAGGCTAAGGGACAAGCTCAGGATGTTAAAGATGAAACCCAGATCAACGCCATTCCTGGTGTACGTTTAGTCACCGCCCTCCCTCTACCTGCACTTTTTTGGTATATCCATTCAAATGGAAGTGATGCAAACAAATCTTTTTCCCTTCAGGAATCTGATGGAGCACATGGTATCTGGAAAATGACGTTTTTCACTCCAGACCCAGTTCCGATGGTCCTGAGGGAGGCCACCCAAGCTGGCTACACCGCCATGACCACCACGAACCGCCTGGTCATGCGAAGCCCTTACGATACAGCAGAGACTTACTCTGAGGAGGTAAGTGACACACCTGCTTGTCCGCTGTGTCTTCCTTCTCTTGAATGACAGTCAACACTACATTTAGGTGGCTGGAGTCCCCATGGAGGTTTTGAAAGTGAGCACTTACTACAAGACACCGCACGGTCTGAGTGTGGTGAACTTGGCAGCTGCTTGTCCCACAGGTAAGTCTCCAGAAATTTGGGCAGCGTAGATTTAATTTATAGTGCGGTTTAGTTAATGATTGTATCTTCAACAGGTGGCGTCCTCTTCACCGAGGAGGCCATCTCATGGTACGTGCCTCGTCGGGTGACGCCCCTGGTAGACGGCAACTTTAAAATCCTAGAAATGTTCATGGGCATCAACGGAGAGAGGCTGGATAAATCTCAGATGGCAGCACGAGGGTACACACTATCTGCCTCTGACTTTCACATCGTTGTCGAGATCCCCGTGGGATCGCCTGATGGTTACTACAAGGTGGGGAAGTTTATAAATTTGCAATGTGAGGCTCTGGTCCATTTTCATGATTTATTAAAACTACCATGAATAATTGCAGAGCCATGCCCCAGATTACCAGTACCACATCGCCTATAACGTGGAGCCCATGTTGGAGGTACTGTGGAGGGCAGAGGACACTCAAGATGATACCAGATACAAGGTTTTGTTCCCCATCACCACCCCTCTGATGCCCAGACCGCCACAAGTCATAGATGGTGAGTCCCGCTTCTCTGGTGGCGGCAATGGGAACTTGTAGCCAAGCTAAACCATCACACTCTGTTCCACAGCCACTGTCCCACAGGACAGGATGTTCACTGTGCACGTGGGAACTTTTCTTCCTGATGTGGAGCTCAGGAACATCACCTTCTCCACTGGAGTTCTCACTGTAGAGGAAAGTAATGCCAGAGGCTTTCCAGTGCAAGAGCACAGCTTCTCCAATGGATCTAAGAGCTTCTCTCTGCAAGTGCCTTTGGAAGCTGATGTCGTCCTGAAACATGTATGTAACATTACAGTCACGTTCAGATTTTATCGTGTCTTTGTTTGGATGCATTCTGTGGCCACAGCTGAGCTTCTTTAAATTCTGCAGAATCCTGAGCCCTTGGTCACGACCTACTTTCTCCCTCTGGTCTTTGGATTTCTGACTCTGCCAGAAGAAACTCCTTTCGCCCACTCAGTGAATTTGGAGACATCTCTGCAGGATGTTGGTGAGAACATCCTTATTTGTCACTTGACAACATGAATTTCAATAATTGCACATGGGACCAACCTTTTTACACATTTTTCTCCTTCAGTGCTTCCCACACTGTCTGGTTCTTGTGACCAGAATGCTTTTTACATCAGTGCGAAATATGGGAGTCAGGGCCCCAGTTTCCAGACCCTGGTTGGGTACCAGCAACTGAACACTGAGCAGATGGAGACTTACAACTTTGCAGAAAACGGCACACACTTCAGCCTCGTGGTGCCCTACAGCGCCAAGGACGCAGCATTTGAGGTAAGTTTCATAAAACAACTTTGAAACGGACTCTAACCTATTTGCACTGGATACTTAACTTTCTGTCTTACAGCTACTTACCTCTGACTCAATCAGAGCCAGACTAAATATTCTCTTGTGGGACCCAAACAACAACTGGGTGCTTGCTGATCTCTACCTGTCCTGCCGTTTCCCGTTCAAAACGACTAGTAAGAACACAATTCTAGTATTTCTGCTAATTGAATATGAAACGTTTAATTGACAAGTTGTCTTCTCCCTAAAGAGTGCCACCCAAACGGCACAATGACTGCTCTGGCTGTGAAGCTGGAATCGGTGCCCAACCTTGATCCGAGCATGCTGACTCTGAAGGACCAGTCCTGCAAACCAGTTTTTAGCAACGATCGCTTCGCTCAGTTTTCTTTCAGTGTTGATTCCTGTAAAACCACTAGAGTGGTGAGTTACTACTAACTTAATATATAGAAATTGAAGGCGGCTTTTGTTAAAATGTTTAATCCTCCCTGTCTTTAGTTTTTTGACAACTACGTGCTGTATGAAAATGAAATCGGCCTTTATTACAACAACAAAGGAGCCACCTACACGTCACCAGTTGATCCCGATTACAGGTAAAAACAGTCATTTGGCCTTTACCTTAATATTTAATTTTGAGATTTTAAATTCTCATTTTTGACATGTTCTCCTTTAGGCAAACTATTTCCTGCTACTATGTGGTGAATGACACTCAGACTATTTCCTTCAACTCTGAACCAATACAAAACCAACCTGCTGCAGAGATCGGATCAGGACAACTGATGGTGCAGATGGGGCTCGCTGAAGGTATGTAGGAACTTTTCACACTGGGGAAACTCTTGTCCTGTTGGTGCAGACATTGTCAATACAACATTTTATTGTGTCTCTCCTCCAGATTCATCGTATGAGTTGTTCTACCAAGCAGAAGATTATCCAGTGGTGAAATACCTGAGACAACCTCTGTATTTTGAGGTGGAGCTGATGTACGCCACAGACCCGCAGCTGGAGCTCATCCTGGAGAACTGTTGGGCCACTCTTAAAGAAGACAGGAAGTCCCTGCCCAGCTGGGACATTATTGTGGACAGGTAATGAAGCATAATCTAGTATCTACATCAGTGTCTTGGCAAGGACAGTGATATTAAAATTGAGTTTAGAAGTTGCTTTAAAGGATTTAGACATTTGAATTAAAGCCTCATTGTTGGTTTTAAATTAAACAGTTTGTTTCCCGTCTCGTCACCAGCTGTGAGAACCGTGATGACAACTACATGACCGTCTTCCACCCCGTTGCAATCAACACCCGAGTCGCCATCCCATCCCACGTCAAACGCTTCTCTGTGCAGATGTTCACCTTCACTAAAGACGAAGAGGTTCTGAAAGACCAGGTAATTAAAAACATGAATGACTCCCATTCAGGCCGCAGCACATGAAACAGATACATCTAACCCTCTGTGCCAAATCTGCCCCTGTCCTGCAGATCTACGTCCACTGTGATGCAGTGATCTGTGACGCAAACAGCGACGCAGATGTCTCCTGCAGAGGCCAGTGTGTGACTCCTACAGGCATGAAGCCCAACAGACAACAAGGGGTTAAGAGAGGTGAGGATGTGCAAATATATAAACCAACACTTTATTGAGTTGTACTGAATCTTGTCTCTTTTTTTTCTTTTCCCAGCACAAAGAAGCACAAAATCAAGCAACCAAAGGCAGCTCTCTTCTGGACCAATTCTCTTAACCACTCAGTCAAACCTTTAAATAAAAATCTCTTAACATTAAAACCCAGTTTTCTTTTGTTCTTTGCTTAAAGCTTTGAGTGTCAGACTACTTTGATTTAACTGCAGAGGCTTCATGTGTTAGATCCCCTGCAGGGACTCAGTTCATGTCTTTTTAAATTTCTGCATTCATCTCAACAGAACAGTTTGCGCATTAGTTCCTCCATTGGCTAATGATGAAATTGTTGTGCTCAAAACGTTTCCAGAAATGATATTTGAGGGTTGGTCTATAATCCAGACTCTCATAAATTTAGTTTATCAATGAAAACTGAGGGTGAGTAATGAACTCCAGGGAAATTGTTTGAATTTTGTGTTGGGGGAAATTGGTAAATTTGTTTCTTAGCTGCAGGTTGGATCAAACTCTCTCATCCCAGATTAAAGTCTGTGTATTAGTTTTTTTTCCACATAAGACATAGATGATTTTGGCAAAATGCTTCTTTTGAATTGTTTCTAATCAGGATTTTTATCAGTTCCTCCATCCAAACTGACTGCCTCACTTCATTAATGGTTAACTTTTGTTGTTGCCTCTATAAAGGAGGCTGTTTTCACCAGTCTGTTTTGTGTTTCCCTCAAAACTTTGAAGAATGTTATGGGTCAGTACAGAACCCTGTTTGGATAGATCCATTTTGAAACAAAGAATTTCGTTTCCACTTTAAGAGGGTGTCCAACATTTTCAGATTTGTAATTTGCTGCAGCTTGATTGAATTTATGGGGGCGGTTGGGCATTAGTGGAGGTTTAAACTCTTTAGTTTTAAATGGGTTTTTGGAGCAGCTGCCTGCAAATGTTTCCAGAAATCACATAATTGGTATAATTGACTGTAAAATGTAGATCTACTGAATTTATAGAGCACTTTACTATATAGTTAATGACCAGTCAAAGTGCTTTACACTACAAGTCTCATTCATGCAGCACTTTCATATGCAGTGCTTTTCTATTGCACATAATTCACACACTGCTGAAACAGCAGTCAGGGGCAATTTAGGGTTCAGTCTTCCAAGGACACTGCGACATGTGCACTGGAGGGGTCAGGAATTAGTGGATGACCCGCTCTACCTCCTGAGCCACAGCCACTTAAATAATGACACTTATTTAACTGAAGTTTTATAGAGACAACATGGCTGTAACTGAAAGTGAAGCTGAAGCATCACTACCTGGTGGCTCTGCAGTAAAGGTCAAACCCTGCCTCCATGTTGGTGGATGGAATATGGATCAAAATAAGTGAAAGCTCACTTTACATTTTTTGCAAGGACTTTTTGTGTGGTCATCACTAACTTGTCCAGTAAGTCTGGTTTAAATTAGCTGCTATAAAAACATTGACAGCTGTTGGGGATCACAACTGCACAGACTCCAACTTGTCAAACAACAACTGCACATTTCAGCTTCATTTTCTTTACAACAGGGGAAGTGGAGACTTTAATCCATCTTTGTTTTACCCATTTTAATCACAACAAATATTAATTCCATTGCCAGTTGACAATAAAGTTCTAACTACAGAAAAATAACCAATAAAACAAGCTGATAATTATTTAACAAGATTCCATAATGAAAATCAGTTCACTTAAAGAATGACAATAGAAAACAGTGTAAACTCTTGTAAAAACCACTTTTATTAGGATTGTGTTAGTTTATATTTATGGGTCCCGATGACACGTGTTTGAAACTGTGTGCGTCTGAAACTGCTCGTCTTTGACCTGCAGAGGAAAAGAAAGACATTTTTAAATATATTGAATTCAAACAAATAACATTTTGTACCATGATACCAGATTACCTTTTATCCTGTTGTCCTGGTTTGAACACTGCCTGTTACAAGCTCCACCATTCCTGGCATCACAGATGGCCACGTCACAGTGGACAAAGAGCTGCAGGGTACGAACATACATGTTTGTGTAATCATTTAACTATATGTGAAGCGTGAGAGAACAGGAGTGTATAGTGTCGACTACCTGACGACTCAAGTTATCTTGATCTTCAGCGAAGGCAAACATCTGGACCTCGAAGCGTTTCAAGTGAGATGGATACGGAACTCTGGCGTCCACCCACACAGGATGGAAGACCACCTGGTATGGGTCTACTGGGTTAGCACAGCTGGAAGAGAAAAGATTTTCAATTTAATTTTCACCTTTTCCTGTCATTTATAACAGGCGACACTAGCGTCCAGGTTCGGTCACCCGTCGATGATGAGGTTCCATCTGGGTTTGGACATCCTGTTGTCATTCAGCGTCGCCCAGCAGTTCTCCAGCTCCAGGGACACTTGGGGATTTGCGGACCTCATCAGCTCGATCTCAAAATACAGCGGCTGTTGTAAGTACTTGGCAATGGGGTAGTCCTCGGCTCTGTGGAACGAGCTGTAGGAGTCGTCTGAGTGAGGAGGGAACGAACATGTTATTCTGAGGGTTTAAGACAATGTCTTCATAGTTCAACGTGCTGACAAAGCTCGAAGATGATTTGATTTCAAGACGCGTCAATGACTCTGAGCTGGAATTACATGACGAACACAATCAGGATCAGTGAACGATTGCAGGACAATGTCAGATTACTAATTTTGAAAGATCCAATTCATACTTTACAACTCTCCTAAAGACAGAAACGACCACATCTATTGTTCTGAGTTGGTTCAAATCTGATCATGTCTCTTTTGCCACAAGTTAGGAGGGTAAAGAAAAAAAGTTAATGTAAAGCCAGTGTGAGTGAGTTCAGATCTTCTCACCCAAAGCGAGTCTCATTGCGACCTGCAGCTCGCCCTTTGCGTTTTCAGCGTATGGCTCACTCTGGCGAGGTCTGGTGAGGAAGGCCACAGCTCGCATTGTGTTGATGTCGTAGTAACAAGAAATCTTTAACCTGGAGGAACGACAACCATGTGATCGACTTGTGAGGAAAAACTTGTAGTCAGCAGTGGCAAAACTAATTTAAGATCCTCATTAGAACACAAAACGAGTCTTGAGACGTAATTCAGTTTTGGGAAATGATTGGTCTGGCATTAATCTGTGATTCATGTCGTATTTCATTGAGAAGAAACTCTTCATAGAATAAGAGGATTGTGCCATCAGGGCTGCACCTGCTATTTTTGATTTTAAAATATTCTGCAGATTAGTTTCTACACTATTTGCTCTACAAAAATGTATCAGCTGCATCTTGTTTCCTCAGAACAAAGTTAAGAAAAAACTCAGATATTAAATAAGAAATGCGGCAAATGAAAAAAAATAAAATAAAAAAGTATTTTAGCATTCGGTAACTTTCTGACACTCACTCATATTCAGGCTCTTCTGTTTTTGAATCCTGTGTAGTTTGAAGTTCCTCCGGCAGAGAGATCTCATTTTCATACAGCATCACGTTGGAAAAAAACTAAAAGTAAAAAAGGAAGAGAAACTTAAATCTGCAGGTAGATCTTCATGTAAAACAATGTACAACAGTGTCCTGTACCTTCCTAGTCGTCCCACATGAGTTCCCAGTGAAGACGAAGTACGCGTGGCGGTCGTCGCTGTAGGAGGGACCACAGCTGGGGTCCGAGAGGGTGAGCTCACTGGGCTTCAGATTGGGAACCGACTCCAGTTTCACAGCCAGAGCCGTCATGGTTCCGTTAGGAAAACACGCTGGTGGAGGACGAGGAGAACTGTTACTGTGTGTTTGACTTTTGGCAATGAACAAAATGTGTTTTCTCTGAAACAAACCAGTCAGGGTTGAGGGGAAATCGCAGGCTAAAGAGAACTCCTGAATGTTCTTGTTGGTTTCTGGGTTCTTCAGGGTCACGTCCACTCTGCTCCTGATGGACGACGACTCCACAGCCTGAGGCGTTGGTGTCAGACGGCACAAGAACAAAAACATTTTAAAGCTAGGGCATTATGTCGAGGATAATCATTACTTGATTCGGCTCTGACCTCAAACGCGGCGTCAGCGGCTGAGAACGGCAGGGCCAAACTGAAGTGTGTGTTGTTCTCCATGAACCCGTACAGCTGAGCCAGGCTGGGGGTCAACGTCTGCTTCCCCACGATGGTCTGAAAGTTGAAGCCCTGAGTTCCGTACTGCACGAGCACGTAGAAGTTTTCATGATCACATCCACCAGAGACAGAGGGAGCAACTAGAGGAGGAAAAAACTGACTTTATAGAAGAACGCATGTTGTTCACCAGGTACAGAGATGAAGAGGGAAGTGTTTCTTTATTTGGTCACTTCATATTTATTGTTCCAGAAGTTTAACTTCCTCTCTTTTTGCTTTAAATAACAATGCTAATTTGTTTCTATTTAATTTTGAGTATGTAGGTGTAGAGTTGGTATGTTTGTATTATTCATATATATATTATATGCCATATAGAGCACAGGTTGACAATATATTTATAGATGTTTAGCTCTTAAATCCATTAAGAGAACAGACCTATGTCGACTAATGTGGCCTCCAGATTAGCGGCGCGAGAAAATGACGCAAACTCCGGCAGCACCAGCAGGCCCAGGATCAGCTGAAGAGAGTAAACTGTCGTCCCCATTTCTTTCTGTTGGGGAAAAGATTATTAACCAAAAGACATCAAAAATAATATTCGTATTTTCCAAGTTGAGGTTGAAGCTCATACCGTTTGTTGTACGACAGGATCCGTGAAGGGCACGTCGAGGGTGAAGACCTTCAAGCTGCTGTTGGGGGACGTGTGCTCCAGGACGTTGAAGCCCCTGGCGCTGCAGTCTGCGACGGACAAAACCTCCGAGGGGAAGGTGACGTTCACGAGAGCCACATCGGAGCCTAAAGGGCCGATCAGCACCTTGAAGATCCGCTCCTCCGGAACGGTGTCTGTGAGGGAGCAACACAAGGAATGAGGGCAGGTTGGATTTATTTATCAAAACTCCATCATCTTAAAAACTCACTGTCAATAACTTGTGCTGGTTGAGACAGTAACGGCGTGGCGATGGGAAACAGGACTTTGTATCTGGTGTCCTCGTGAGTGGTTTCCTCCGTCCAGAGCAGCTCCAGCATTGGCTCAATTGTGTAATAAGTGAGGTATTGATCATCCTGAATGCGACTCTGCCAATAGAGATGTTTAAAAGGTGAATTAAATTCAAATTGAATGTCATTATGTCCCATTAAAAAACCCAAAAAACTATAGAAGCCATAGAAAGTTAATTGGAGGCAGAAAAAACTCGTGTGGAGGAATTAAGAAATTAGATTGAAAATTAAAGCATTTTGTGATTTGAAGGGTGGAAAAATAAGTTCATACAATCTGATGTTATTAATCTTGAAAATATTAAATAAAATATAATTTAATTACTCGATCCGTCTGGGGTGCAAACAATCATAAATTGGAGATTTATACTTTTTTTCTAATTTCTCAAAACCCTGGAAAGTAAAGAAACACAGATTAATAAATGTGTGAGATTAAATAACTATATAAAAAGTGCCTATCCAGCACCCTGGGTCAGGTTTATATGAACTCATATCGTCTCTTGAACTCATGGACGTTTGACATTATGCATGAAAACAATATAAACAAAACAGTTTTCAGTGCCACTGACCTTAAAGTAGCCACCGACGGCACCAACAGGAATTTCGAGGACGACGTGAATGTCATTGACGGAGAGAGAGTATCGTCTGGCAGACATCTCAGTGGCGTCCAGTCTCTGGCCGTCGACGCCCACGTGCACCTCCGACAGTTTGAACTGCCCGGCCGAAACCAGCGGGTCGATGTGCCGGGGCAGGAACCAGGTGATCGTGTTGGGAGTGAAGTAAACGCTGCCTGAATACAAAAAGTGCACAGACGTCAAAAAAGGAAAAACATCCAATAGATTTTAGATCCCAGGGTCCCTGAGGTCATAAGGTCAAGTCCTCCTTTCTTTACCCTCCACGGTCGGACAGGCAGCTGCTGCATTGATCTGAGTCACCAGCCACTTCTTCTGAAAGATGGTGGAGGTCTGGAGCACCGTCATCGGCACGCCGGCTACCTGCGGGGTGAAAATATGTAAATGCTTTGTTTAGTCGATTCAATGCTTTAAAAAGAATTGTAGAATATTGACAAACAAAAGCTGGAAAAGAGGAAAATCCATTTCCTGAGAATGTGAGTGATTCACGACTACTGGGACCATTTATAAAATGAAGTCTACCCGTGTGTTTAACTGTGCCAGTTGGATGTAAGACAAAATAAGTGATTTAAAAGGCAGTTTGGTCCTATTGTGTAATCTAAATTCAGTGGGTGAGAGAAATAAATCATCGGGTGCACTGCGAGAAATTTAACCAGAACTTTCCGGAGGGGCCGAGACGTCAAACCTTGTTTATGTAATTTAGTGGTCTGCGCTCCACTCACATTCTGGGTGTACGTTTCGGGCGCAGTGCGCGGGCTTCGCAGCACCAGCCTGGACGGAGTGCTCGTGATCCCGTAACCGCTTCTCTGGGCCTCGGCCACCGTCATGACCTTCTCCTCAGGAGTGAGGAACACGAGAGACCTGATCCTGAACCCGGCATCCGTGGGCTTTTTCTGTGTGTGAAGTAAAGTCATTAAATACTGAAGAAAAAAAATGTTCCAGGATATAAACAAAAGTAGCTGATCTAACCTCTGCACCCCGTCGAGGATCTAACTTTGCATCGACCCCTGGGAGAGGCTGTGCAGGCAGAGCATAATCTTCTGGAGCCGCCCTTTTCACAGACACCTAGAGAGGGAGCCACTTTTTAAATGATCAGTCAATCACTTTTTCTTTTTTTACAGTGGCATCAAATGTAATAGCCTTGATGCTACTACGGGTCATAAAGCTACTTATCATATAGACTGGAACGTGACCCCTGAGAGTCCTGCAGCATTCACTTGCCTCCATGTAGTTAGGGTCACACACGATTTCCCTGGAGCTCCAGGTGGCGTAGCGGCAGGTTTCAGCCACCTGGTGCAGCTCGTCCTCGGCCATCCGGTTCCCATGCAGGCGAAGGTTTAACGTTGTCGTGAATGCGTCGCCCTGGAAAAAAAACACACAGGAAGAAAAACAACTCAAAACCAATTGACACATTCGGGGCTGCTGCTCGACAAAAACACGACATCTCCGGTTTTTCTTTACCACATTCTGAGCAAAGCAGTTTTGAAGGGAGGTGTAAATCACAGCATTCCCCCGCTGGTCAATCTTCATGCTGAAGCCACACTGAGATGCCAAACTTTGTGTAAGGAGGATGGTAGAGTTATCTGAGGAGAGGAAGGTGGGGGGAAGAAAGAGAGAAGTTTACAAAGAGATAGTTTAAAAGTTGAATAAATTCAGAAAACTCAACTTACTCATGACAGCAGCGACTTCAAGAAGTTTCCCTCCAAGTGGACCAACATCCACACGCATGATGTTCCCCAGACATTGAGAGCTGATATCTGGGATTAAACAAGTTTGCATTCAGTAGAGTTTTAAAAAGGAAATGCATTGATTCAACTAAACAAACAACTCACTCATGGGTGGTTTCTTTTGAGCTTCTATGTTTACAGCAGCTATCAGGAGAACAAACCACCTGAAAGACATCGAGTCATTGTCAGCTCTGAATCAAATCTGAAGCCGTGAACAAGGGACATTTTTGACAAGAAACAAAAACTACGAACCCCAGTCCGTATAAACAAGCCATGGCAGTAGAGGTGGAGCACTCGTAACCACAGCGCTCAGGGTTTTTCTGCAGACTTGAATGAGGTTTACTGTGGAAATAAACTCTGCAGGCCGGAGAGGGTGGTCCCTGTTCAGCACAGGTGGATCCTATCACAGGCTGATGGAGGTAATTGTGAGGACGGGTGGTGTCGACTGCATTTATACTTTTGAAATATATCTTTGTCGTCCTCTATTTACACACATAGTTTAAGTCTTTTTTGCTGATTTGGTTTATTTTGTTTCTTAACAAACAGCCACAATGTGGAAGTATAGAAACACAGAGAGGAACTGAAGAATAAAATGTATAATATAATATACAAGAAATATACACACAAGTATACACGTGTACACATCAAATAAAAATACATCACAATAAAACAGTGAGAAATAAATAAATGAATAATAATGATACATCTTTAAAAGCTAAATAAATTAAATCATGAAAAATAAAAGGCATATTAAATAATTTGTAAATTTAGTTTTATTTTCTTCCACTCAGTCCCCTGCAGTTTGTGTTGGTCCAAGGTTGAGTTAAGAAGCTAAATAGAAAACAAGTGTAGGAAGCTACAGAATATCTCTGAGGACACGATGACTTTCTTAGAGACAGAAAGAGAAGACACAACGATGGTTTTACGAGCCGAGACAAGGTTTAGACTCATTGGTCCAGAGAAACATCCTGAAGAGTAATGATATGTGGCCACTGTGACGTGCAGGGAGATTATAATATTCTTATTTTTTACAAGGACGGCTCGGATTCAGTTCTGCTGCTGCTTAAGACATCATCCATCTTCCAAATAAAACCAAAAATAAGTCTCTTACACTGCAAAATTCCCTCAAAGCACATAAACATATTTTATGAATATTAAAGGTCTGGATAACTTATCACGACACATATTCAAGTCTCTGTAGAACGAACTTTTATAAGTTGTGAAAATATGACGCAAGAAAGGACCCATTGGTGTGGATGTGGATCAGGGGTCTGATCCAGGACTTTCACGTTTGCAAGATTCTTTAAAATATTTTCATTGATTTCTCAGACAGAATAATTTATGGATCTTGTTGAAGAGAATCTGTCATTTTTGGGAGGCTGTTATTTGTGTGTGTGCAGTAAATTTATAATCTTATCCAGGCTTGCGCTCTACCCAGTGCCATTCCAGATTTCTTTCTCACTAACAAACCTTCAGGGGAAGAAGAACACATTTCATGTTGTAAACAGCATCTGGGAGATACTGAGCATGTGTTTTATTGAAGGTACTAAAAACCCTCGGCCAGGACACTGAGGTGACATCACATAGACCACATTACAAATTGTCAGGCAGTTTAAACACAGTGTCTGCAGCTGCTCTCTCCACAGCTCACAGTGGAGCTATGCTGTTATTTGGCTTTTGCTGCCAGATCACTGTGTTGCTGCCTGGTTTGGCAGAGGAGTGAAATGTCAGTGTGTGATTTTACTTCACTTTACCCTCCCTCTCTCCTCCGAGCTGTGGTCAGCAGCCTTTAGTCGCAGTACTTTCACTCAAACACGAGCCAAGTGCAGCTTTTACAATGTAAAACCCTGATTTTAATTGACAAACCAGGGGTTCAAACGACAAATATCTCAAAATGACAGATCGGTTGAAAACGCCTGAACGCTGCATAAAATGATGAACACACCTCTGCAGAAGGTCCAGCCCCAATTCTGCGGACATTCTCCAGCGGTCATGTCTGAAAATGGCTTTACAGTATCAGGAACTGTGCAAAGGTTGTTGGACATATATTTGGCCCCCACAGTGTAAACTGGGGCCCCATTTTTGGCCCCTGATTTAGAAAAATCCTAGATCCACCACTGTCAAAAAAAACCCACCCAATGTGAACATGTAACAAAGTGGATTGTAAAAGTAAAGTGAGGCGGAAAGTACAGATATTTGTTGACATTCTGTATGCAGTAGAGTAAAAGTAAAAAGTAAGTAGATGTAGTACTTTAATACATCCCACCACTGGTTATAGGCTCATGATAAAGAGTAATAATACAGCAAGGTGTTACTACATGTCTTCCTCTCCTCTCCTCCTTTTCTTCCTCTCCTCCCTCCCTTTTCTCTCCTGCTCTCCTCTTCACTCCTTTCTTCCTCTCCTCTCCCTCCCTCCCTTCCTCTTCTCTCTCCTCTCTCTTTTCCTCTCCTGTCCTTCCTTCCTCTTCTCTCTCCTCTCTCTTTTCCTCTCCTCTCTCCTCCTCCCTCTCTTTCTCTGCTCCCTCTCTTCCTCCTCTCTGGCCCCTCCCTGTTCCTTGTATAAGGGAACAAACCTCCGTCACTCCTCCAGTCTCTCTCCTCGTCCTGAAGCTGCAGCACCGCTCCGTCTCTCCCTCCTCCACTGACCTGCTGTGTGGCGGCTTCACATATTTTTGTGCAAAACTAAAACAGCTGGATAAAAGTTATTTTCATGGAAAGAACGGCTCCAGGTTCAGGTACGATGCAGCTTATCCTTCTGCATTTAACTTCAGTGACATTAAAAGTAGCAGATTTGAATAAGAAATAGGGTTTGGTGGGAAAAATGGCATAGTTTTTATATGCAAAGGTCCGTACAATCAGTGTGCATGCAACCACGCATGGTGATCTCAGGCAGAAGAGATAAGACAATGACCACAGAACAATACAGAATTGTGCACATGCTGGAGAAACAGTCCCTGGAGTGATGTGTGGGGTCAGTTTCAACTTGTTGCCTCCCATTTCCTCTGAGTTAGTCTTGTCCACTTGGTAATTTGATTCCTCTGGTGATAATCCTGCTGTTGAGCTCTGAAAGAAGTGACAGTACCTCACGCCTCTTCAGTCACTCCCGCACAAGCCATTTCCTGTGTTTGCTGTATTGATTTTCTTTTCTCTTCAGAGGACTAATGTGTTCCACAAACAGTGGGCACTCAATGGGCATCCGTCCACATAAATGTGCCGCTCACAGCCCTGAGATCCTCAGATGCTTGTGGGGCGTTTGCTTGAAATTAAACTAGATAGACTAATATTTACAGACTTCATTTATTCTCGTAATGTTTCTGTGCGTATCATCAGGACGATGGGGTATGGGCAAATCCTCCACCGGCGTGGAAACGAGGAGGACCAGGTCCACCTCAACGTGGGAGGAGTACGACATGAAGTGGATCCCAGCATGCTGCTACGCTTCCCTCACACACGCCTAGCGCGTCTCCTCTGCTGTCAGAACGAGGCGGCAATCCTGGAGTTGTGCGACGACTACATCCCAGCCGAGAAGGAGTACTACTTCGACAGGAATCCCCGGGTCTTTCTCTGTGTGCTCAACTTCTACCAAACGGGACGTATACACATGATGGAAGAGGTGTGCGTTTTCTCCTTCAGCCAGGAGATCGAGTACTGGGGCATCCAGGAGCTCTACCTGAGCCCCTGCTGTAACAACTGGTACCACGAGAGGAAAGACTACATCGAAGACAGGGACTGGGACATCAGGAGTGACGACATGCAGCAGCCAAGCTGCCACTCGTCCTTCGAGGAACTCTCTGCTCTCGATAAAGACCTGGAGAAGTTCAAAGGTGCCTGGTGTGCAGAACTGAGGAGCTACATTTGGCTCAGGCTGGAGGATCCCGGTCATTCCAGAGCCTCTAAAATCATTGCCGTGGCCTCCCTTAGCGTGGTCTTGACCTCTATTGTTGCCATGTGTGTCCACAGCATGCCTGAGTTCCAGCGTGTGGACGACAACGATAAGCCCATCGAGGATCCTGTCCTCTCCATCCTGGAGGTTATCTGCATTGTCTGCTTTTCCACAGAGTTCATCATCAGGCTGATTGTTGCACCCTCTTGCAGGAAGTTCCTCGGAAACCCCTTAAACATCATAGACGTCGCTTCCATTTTGCCATTTTATGCCACTTTAGCCCTGGAGACAGCGGATGAGGAGGCCGCGGAGGAGAATGAGGACTTAGAGAATGTTGGGAAAGTGGTGCAGGTTCTGCGTCTCATGAGGATTCTCCGAATCCTCAAACTGGCTCGTCACTCCATTGGGTTGCGAGCTTTGGGTGCCACAGTCCGACACAGCTACAACGAGGTGGGTCTTCTTCTTCTCTTCCTCTCCGTGGGCATCTCCATATTCTCTGCCCTGATCTACTTTGCGGAGAAGGAAGAGGAGTCTACAGATTTGGGGACCATCCCCTCAGGCTGGTGGTGGGCGACGATCACCATGACCACAGTTGGTTATGGTGACACCTGCCCAGTGACGTTTCCAGGGAAGATAGTGGCGACCTTGTGTATCATCTGTGGCTTGTTGGTGGTGGCTCTGCCCATCACTATCATCTTCAATAAGTTTTCAAAGTACTATCAAAGAAATAAAGCCATGGAGGGACAAGGTATCACTAAGCCTGAAAGACAAGACCCAGAACTCCCTAATTATAACATCAGAGACCTGTTCACAGGCAGCGTGTATCCCTTCATTGGAGGTATCACCTTTAGGAACAGTGTGAGCAGCACAGGGGATGACACAGATGCCTCCAGTCTCCAGGACATCGAGGTGTATGATAATGACACTTGTGAAAATGAGGCAATAAAATGAGATCCCTGCTATTTTAGTGAGTGTCGCTCCCTTTATGACTTCTAGTCACTCCGTGCCTCTCAGGGCAGAGCCCTCCATCACTGACCCTGTCTTCCTACATTGTCTTCCTCCTGTAATTTGACAGAGATTTGTCACGGCCATGATTTTGCTTTTCCTTTTTTTTGAACCAGGTGATAGCTCATGAAATATACAGCCTTGCTAAAACTGGGAAATCTAAGGGGATTTATCTGAATCTTGCTCTGAGGTTTGGAATCCCATTTTCTGCTTGAGAAAACAGCAATGATGCATGTAGAAGGCCATAATGTTAATGTTTTTCAAAGTAATGTCCTGTATCGATCTGTCTGCTCGCTGAAAGTTCAGAGCAAATATAAAACTCTAGGATCACAACAACAGTTTGATGTTTAAAAATGGTGTTAGAGATCTCTGAGTTGGCCGATGATATTCAGCCTGCATGAACTGAAGTAAATGCGTTTTTTTTAATCAGAGAGTAATGTAAATAGTTTTGTAGAGTTATGCAACATCATTGATGCTAGTGAAGAGAGGCCAGGTCAGTGGAATATGATTTGAAATGCCAGGTTATTGTTATGGACAGCTGTGTTGGCATGAAATAAAACTCAGTGAATCAGAAGCAAGATGCCTGTTATTTTTCTAAGGGCATACAGAATTTGGTAATACTAATACAAGTAATACACTAATACAATTTATATTCAGGTTTGTTGCATTCATCTTTAATCGCATGTACAAGATGTGCAGGATTCCACACTGACTGAAATTATGGAAACCATTAAGAATGTCTTTTCTTTTGTGGTCGAATGCAGCTGTAGAGAAAACTTTCATTTCTTATTCAGTCTTTTCTCTCCTCTCTGAAAGCATTGATTTCCTGCCTCATGTTATCATCTGTGGTTGGATGAACTGCTGTCCCACTAGAGCCAGAGATGTAAAAAAACAATCACTTCTCTGCAGGGGTCTCAAAGGTGCTCATGCAGTTGGTCAGAAGCATCCTCACGCAAAGTTAACATCACCTTCATTTGTAAACAAAAGATGAAATGTTACGTGAACCATTTATATTGGATTTAAAGCTCAGATGGTTCCTTATCTACTGGCAAGTGACCAAAGATCACAGTAAATTGATATAAGTGAGGAGTTGAGGTTCCTGTATGGATCATAGATTGTGGGTAAAGATCCAGAAATGAAGCCAAAATATCCTGGATACAAACGCTGCCATCTTGCACCAATGAGATAATTTGGAGCCAGAGTCTGCGTAGTAGTGATCAAGCGTTGGAGCCGCAGTAGCAACGCCCCACCACTGTATGCTCTCGACCAATCGCTAACCAGTATCAGCTGTCAATCATGACGTTTCACCCCATTAGTATCGCATCAAATAACCAAGTAAAACTGGAAAATGAGAAGTACCCAAAATGAATTTGACATGTCTTTTGACTATTTAATACCATCCATGTCCCATCCACCAACATTGGGGAGGCGGGGTTTATGACCAATACTGCAGCCAACCGGCAGAAAGCATTTGCAAGACTTAGGCTTCACTTTTTATAGTCGCAACGTCAGAAACAGAAACCATCTCTGAGAAAAATGTATTTTACTTTTTAGTTTGGTCCATGTCCCATCTGCTAACATGGAGGAGGCAGAGTTTATGGCCTATTCTTGCAGGGCGCAATGAAGACGCACTGGCTTCAGCGTTATGTCGTCCACCTTTATACAGTCCATAAAGTACAGATGCACAATCATTACTTTACAACAGGTCGTGTACAAACTAACCGCGGAGGAACCTGAATTACGATAAGTTAATAATATTAAATAAGTTCAGAGTTCAGATGAGCATCATGTAGTAAGTATCCACACTTGCAATGACAATGTCAGAAAACTGGCACAGACAAGCAGTGATTTTATGTTTTGCAAAATTTCCATCCAAAGGAAAATATGAGGGGTCACCAGATGGTGAGCAAGAAATCATGTTGTGTTACTCATAATTATGTAAGTGTGTGACGTACCTCATTGACCCATCTTAACTTTAAACGCTTACAAGGCAAAAAGGTTGTGAAACACTGCAATACGAAATAAATTAAGTGATAAATGATAATGGATGTAATGACCATTACTGTTATACTTACACTTTGTCTAATGCTCTAATGGAACTCCTTCAACATCTAAAAGAAGAATCTAATAAAGTAAAAAGATGTAACATGAACTCATTGTGATGTAAAAAAAACAATAATAGCAGTAAATAGATTTATAATCAGATATCTAATCTTGATTGAACGTGAAAGTGAAATCTTAATGTGGAAGAATCCCCCATTCGAGTCACAGATGAGGATCCAGCATCGCCTGCGACAGATGAAGATGTTTTCACGTTCCTCGGCCGCTCGTCATTACCTCTCAGCCTCATGACTTCGGGCACTGCTGAGTGAAGTGGATTCAATATGCCCTTACTTTGCTGTTCCTTATTATCGATTAATGACCTGTTTTTCCTTTCTGTCCACCTCGCTCTCCGTCACCTGCCTGTTGACTGATAAGTGACGGATTGATCTGCTTTTAAAGAAAACGCTCGACAGAAAAAGGTCTGTGACAGTTCTGATGGTCGTACGTTCTTGCAACAGCAGGGATTTCTACATGGATACGGAGCAGTGAGCGAGTGGGAATTAGTAATCAGCCCGTGGGGTCTGTGCATGAGCATGTCCCCCTGGAAAGAATTTGACCTTAATAACCACCAGTTTAAATATTCCTCCATTCTGATCGTAAAATAATTTTCCTCCCAGATTTTTAACAGGTTGTGATTTATTGTAAAAGAGAAAAGCAAGACTGACATTCTTAATTAAAGTAGAACAAATTCTCAATGACAACATTTTAATCTTGAGTAAAAGATATGATGTGAAAAAACATAATGACATGTTCCTGCAGGATGTAACATTATATAATCTTACATTTTTCAATATACGTAAATTTCAATACTTTATCTGTAGCAGCTACAATACAATTAATATCAGCAAAGTCACTCACTTATCTGACGATAATCAATAATCTGTCACTTCTGTCATTTCCTTTACTGAACAAAAGTGTAATCATTTCTGCACAACAGGAAGATGTACTTATCACAGGTGTGGCTTTTTTCCTATTGTGGCAATTGGTATGTATGAGGGACATCGGTGGCAGTGTTCGTAATGCAAAGGAAAAAAGAGCCAATTGCCTGTAAAGGTCACAGTGACTATGTCAGCACAAATGTCACTGTTCCAGGAATGATTCGAGAGTTGTTTCTCAAACTTCCCCTTGAGGCTTTTTTTCCTTCTTGAAATGAAACAACCTTAATTTTTAAACTGAGGTGAAGTTGTCCACCACAATACTCCTGCTGGGTCTTACACTTAATGCTGATTTGAAGTGAGTTGTCTGTGTGCAGAATAGAGACAGTGATGTTTCTTGGCATCAGGAGCTGGGACACTTCTGCAGAGTCTGCTGGGCATTAATATTAAATACATGTCTCTGCAGAGGATGATGGAGAGAGCTGGAACATGTTTGCCCATGTGCATGCTTAGAACCTAAAGTTATTGAAGAGAAAAATGTATCTTGAAAACTCTTTGACATTTGTTTTCAGGTATGAACCTGAGCAGTGCATTACACACAAAGCCTCCAGCTCTGTAAAGGCAGTTGTCCCTGAACCTCACACAGAAGGAAAAGGTCAGTGAACGCACTGATGAATGTGCAGAGGGGACTTTTATATTGTGTGAAATTCTGCTTCAGCTCGACGCACCGGCTCTTTGTGAGTTCACACTTTGCTTTTGGTTGCACCACACACAGTAGATGTTGGTTCTCACTAGATATTCATGTGAAAGTTTAACTATGCTGCTAATGGAACTTGATAAAACCCATGTTAGCTTGCTAACCTGTTTAGATTAAAGACAACAGGAGTAAGAAGGATAAATTGTCTCTAATATTAAATATCAATAAAGAACCTTCATCAGTATAAGATGTTTGATTTTGATCAAGATAGAAAATGAAATTACATTTCAAACCAGAAATACTGCACTGCGGCTGTGTGCCTCTCCCAACCAGTGCAGCTTCTGTCTTCATAAAACAAAATCTCCAGATTCATGTAAGGTCACCAGGACCTTTAACCACTGAAATCTAATGGGTTCTTTTAGTCCAACTGGCAACTGTTCAAAAGTTGAAGAAATTCCTTCAATGCAGTCTTCAGATATCCAGAGTGTTTAGTGAGGCCGCAGTGACCTTGACCTTTGACCTTTGAACACCAAAAGCTAATCAGTTAATTCTTTAGTCCAAGTGAAGGTTTGTACCAAATGTGAAGAAAATCCCTCAAGGAGTTCTTTAAATATTTTGTTCACAAGAATGGGAGAGATGGACAGACGACCCGAAAACATAATGCCTCAAATTACATCTCACATCTCATTAGTTTTATAAAAACTGTTGACATTTGGGTTGACACACAACAACCTCACTGGACAGTAGCTGTTAATTTTACACACAGATCAGATAAAAACAAAATGAAAATCAACTGGCTCGTTATGAGTACTTGACCAATTTGGAAACTGACATTTGAAATAATCATTTGTGGGGAGTTTGATGAAATGGAAATTTCATGAAATATATATATAATTAGATTTAATGAAACTCAAAGTCCACTCACTAGTTTAACGTGAATGGACGCTGATGGAGTTTGCTCAGTCGTCATGGAGATGGATGTGTTGACTTTTTTTCTTTGCAGCAATGCTAATTCAATCAAAGAACTTTCAGGACTTTGTGATTGTGTTGGCTCAAAGGTTAAGCCCATTAAGTTCAGGGAAATAAGCAGATCCATCTCCAGCTAACTCCGCTAATGAAGACTGTAACAGCTCGAAGTGAGTGAGCAGTAAATAGATCTAGAAAAATGTGTGTTTTCTGGAGAGATTTAATCACACTCCTTTACACAAACAAAAAAACATCTAGATGTGAAACCGAAGTGGCCCATGTGGTAATTTGTGAATATGGCCCACGCAGCACAAAACTGATTTGGGCCACCTTTGGCACATGCTATATGGCTGACACTTACTTGTGGCCCAGATCTGGCAAACAGGAGCCAACCGCCCAAATGCCATCATTCCACACAGTATGTGAGCAGGATGTGAGATGTTTGCCACATCTGCACCAAATCAATTTTACTATGTGGGTATGAGATTGCTTCAAATCAATTTGAATAATTTTACATCAATATTTAAATGTACCGTGATAGCATATAGCCTTGTTAGCTTTATTTGATTAGACCTCTAGATGAACATATTGAGTCTGTTTCCCCATTTTCACGTTGGATTAAAAACTAGAGTAAATGAAGTATCTAGTCTAAATTCAATAATTGAACAATGAGAAAAGCTAATAATTCTCATCTGGATTATTGCAGTTTGACAAAAAATGAATTACCAGTTAAAGCCAAACTCACCCTCACCTCACCTTGGACACTGCAGTGTGACCTATCCCATTAAGAACATGAGGATGACTTGAGCATTTCAATTAGCCTCATCGGCCATGCCATTTGTCCACCATTAAAGTCGCTCCCAGGAAACCTTCA